TCTGAGAAAAGCACAGAAACCAATAGCCTTCCATTTGGAAAAAAATAAAGTTAGAAGTTGAATAGTGTTCTCCAGAATATACATCTATCCAGAACCTCAGACTGTGACCTTATTCGGAAATAGGGTCTTTGCAGACCTAATTAAGGTAAAGATTGCGATGATACCATACCAGATGAGGATGGGTCCTAAATCCAACAGAGTGTCCTTATAAGAAACAGAAAAGAACACACAGATACAGAGGAAGGGGCAGTGTGAACATGGAGTAAGAGACTGGAAGGCCGCATCTACAAACCAAGCAATGCCAAGGACTGCTGGCAGCCCTCGAAGCTGAAAGAGAGGGACGGGAGTGTTTCTCCCTCAGAGCTCCATAAAGGAAACAACACTCCAACTTAGGGATTTCAGACTTCTGGCCTCCAGAACTGTAAGAAAATTTCTGTTGTCATAACTCACCCAGTCTGTGGTAATTTGTTATGCCAGATCTAGAAAACTAATACAATGCTCTATCAGACACCAAACGCAGAAATAAGTTCCAGATATATCACAAGTCAAACAGTATAAATACTTTTTTAAAGAAGTTTTAAATATTCTTATCAATCATAGGCTAGAGAAGGCTTTCCCAAACAAGGCATAAAACCCAAATGGCACATAGAAAAGGGACTGACAGATGTGTATACACCAAGAATAAAAAATAAACCTGTATACCCAAAGGCAAAATTAAAAGACAAGTATTTGTAGTATATAGTGAAAGTTAATAACCAGAATAATCAGAGATCCTACAAATTATTAAAAAACGAAAATGGGCTAGGCATGGTGACTCACACCTGCAATTCCAGTACTCTGAAAGGCCAAGGCAGGATAATCGCTTCAGGCCAGGAGTTTGAGACTAGTCTGAGCAACATACTAAGACTGCATCGCTACAAAAATAAAATAAAAAGAAATACAAATGACTCAGAAGAATTATTTAAATGATATAAACTAGAAATCCACAGAAGATAAAAAGTCATCACAAACTTTGTAGGTAAATGTTTAAAAGACTGATAATATCCAGTGCGTCTACAGATACAGACACTTTCTTACAGTGCTGGTAAACGATAAATATGTATTAAAAGGATATAGCATTGTTTGTATTGTTTTTATTTTGAGGGGGAATAGAGTCTCATTTGGTCACCCTTGGTACAGTGCCATGGCATCTTAGGTCACAGCAACCTCAAACTCTTGGGTTCAAGAGTTTGTCTCAGCCTCCCAAGTAGCTGGGACTACAGGCGCCCGCCACAACGCCTGGCTATTTCTTTGAGATGGGGTCTTGCTCTGGCTCAGGCTGGTCTTGTACCTATGAGCTCAGGCAGTCCACCCACCTTGACCTCTTAAGTACTGATATTATAGGTATGAGCCACTATGGCCAGGCCTGTTTGTATTATAATAGTAAAAAATTAGAAACAACCTGGTGGTGCCTATGGCTCAGTGAGTAGGGTCTCGGCTCGGCCAAACTGCAACAACAACAAAAAAATAGCTGGGCATTGTGGCGGGCATCTGTAGTCCCAGCTACTCAGGAGGCTGAGGCTAGAGAATCACTTAAGCCCAAGAGCTGGAGGTTGCTGTGAGCTGTGACACCATAGCGCTCTACTGAGGGCAAAAAAGTGAGACTCTGTCTCTAAAAAAATAAAAAATAAAAAAAACAAGAAACAACCCAAATATCTACTCATAGAATAATTAAATATTTCATAGTAGTTCCAACTATGGAATACTATATAGCCATTAAAAAGGGGAAACCAGCCAGCACCTGTGGCTCAAAAGGGTAGGGCACCCACCCCATATGCCAGAGGTGGTGGGTTCAAACCCAGCCCTGGCCCCCTCCAAAAAAAATAAAAGGGGAAACCAACATATAAAGATATCTAGAACATACTAAGGGAAAGAACAATAAAGAGAGTAAGATATAATTTATGATATTAAAAGCTGGGTGCCGGGCTCATGCCTATAATACTTGCACTCTGGGAGGCCAAGGCAGAAGATCCCTTAAGCTCAGGAGTTCAAAAGATCAGCCTAAGCAGGAGGGAGATCCCATCTCCACTAAAAATAGACAAATTAGGCCTTTTACCCATTTTTTTTTTTTTT